ATCAGACGTGTCCAGTATCTAACGACAGATTAGTATTGTTTTGTTGTCGTTGCATAAATAATATGGCACAAAAAATTATACAACAACATAACAATACCGAACTGTCGTTAAGGACCTCTTTCATCAACTTCTGCTTAAATTAATAGATGATCAATTCCTAGAAACGCCAACAGCAATTTAATCAGAATGTCTCCTTTTTCTTTCTCTTTTGAAATAAACTATGTTTTATTCTTATAATGGCCATCAAGATAATTAAATTAATCATCGATTACCGTTAATTGGAGTTGGTGAAAGAGGCTCTAAGACTTATTGATTTTAGTATGTTCTAATTTTTAACCTGCTCTGTGATAAGCTCTCCGATGTAGCAAAATATAAAGATATTGAAACACATTGATAAATACAATATGCCGTAAGATGTTATTTTCGTTGTATCGAACGTTTCCCAAGCCTAAAAATTAAAACATAAGCTTATTTTTATTGTATAATGATTTTCTGTATATATTTTATAATAGAGTAACAATGTTTTTGCTTTTCATAAATAAATAATGGTAGGTATGTTTAATACGTTTTTCATTTTTATGGTCAGATAGCCTACCATAATAATGTAATATCCAAGCAAGCATATGACTAGCGTGCTTCCCACTAATTCCACAAAAGCGACTTTATGCATAATACTTTCCAGTTGTGATATAAAACTGAAACGTGTAAATGTACATAAGTGATACAGTAAAATTTTGTTGTAATTAAGTAGGGTGCGAATGTTCAGGCACAATCTCGGGGTACTTGTGAAGAACTACTGCATGCGAGTGAGTCGGATACTCACTGAAATAAAATAGCAACATTTCTCTGGAGGCTCGAAGTCCGCTGACTATATTTAATTTATCCGAATATATCTATCTCGGTTGGCGTGCGGCCTACTCAATGGATGCTTTCCAATTACTTAACATATTTTAACACAAACATACATAGCAATACACAAAGTGTAGCATTGTGCACGATTCAATTGGAACAGAATATGTACGCTATGCACGGTTGAGATATACGTAACGTAACCTGTAGATTTTCAACATTGGCAGTGAATTTTGGAAAGCCTGTAAAGGCAGTAATCTGCCAATAATTTCAATTTATATAAATATTATTTATATTATTATTTGTTCATGTCGATTCACAGAATATGAAATTATCTTATACAAGTAGGAATAATGCTTACAATAAAGTCAGTCCGGCTTTGTAAAAACATAAAAAATATTTTTAACAATTTCATCAATTAAGGCTAATTTTTCCTCTAAAGATTTTGTACATTTTGAAGAAAAGGGTTCTCACGCGATCTCGAATCAATACTAAAAAATAAAGAAAAAATCTCTGCGCTCTATTTCCTTTGAGTAGGCGGTGCGCAAACCGAGATAGATATATTCAGATAGATTGTGTACAATCGACAGGCTTTGAGTCTCCTCGAGAAATGTTGCTATCTCATTTCAACGAGCATTCGACTCATTTACACGAAGCGGTTCTTCGCGCGCGCCCCGGGATTATGCCTGAACATCCGTATCCTATATTATAGATAAGTCACTGTAAAAGTAGAATCCCACGGTACTTGATTTCTTGCATGCAGCGCTTAATGTATGAACGAATTTTAGCATACATCAGACCAGGCATGTCTGCATGCATACTTATCATACAAGAAATTGATCATTGTGTGATTCCATCTTTATATTGTATTAATTCTCATGAATACAACTGACAACAAATTCTCGTTTAATAATACATAAGAAAAAGAAAATTAATTTATTCTAATTTTAACGTAAATATCTATTTTTTTAAATAATTAATTATTAATTTAAATGATAATTTAGAAAATTTTTATAGAATATTAAAGGATGTGTATTGCTTTTTTTTAATGAGTGTCCGCTTGTGAAATACCTCAATATTCTTAGATGACGTTCTACAACAACAGCCAGATTTCTTTCAGCTTTATCACTTTCCTTTGCTTTGTTTTTAATTAATTTATGTAGCCACGCATATAGCACGTTTAACTGACCACAAGCATGTATCGCGAAGACAGCAGCAAGACTGCAACCACCGGCATTACAGAAACTTATTATTAATAGTACTAAATTTTGGAAAACTAACGCGATTTCATTCACAGGAGTAAATCTCGCGTCGATAATTTTGTTGTAAATTGGACACGTCATCAGATGTGTTGTAAAAGTCTCGTTGCCGATGATGATAGTTGCAGTTTTTATCGATTGTCCGAAACCGACAAATAGACAACCGCTTTGCATCATTATCCCGCAGATTATGGTAATGAAACGGCCGAATTTGGCATGCTGCATCATCACTTCTCGTTCATCGATCCTTTGCATAAGATTCCAGTCTGTCTCCATATGTCGTATTAATTTTTGAATGTCATCACTACGCTTGAGCAACACCCAGTAATGTACCGAGCTCACAAATCTGTTGATCAGTGGCCCCACGGCATTCAATTTTTGCTTGATATTTTGTGCTTCAAATAATGCATACAATAAACACGGTATCGTTGTGCCTGCTATTATGCTTGAACAAATGAAAATTTGTAGTAATATCATGATTTTGCATAATGAACTCGATACATTTATTTGTGGCCACGCACCGATTGGCTTCAGAAGCCATCGATTAAATTGTAAATTGTAATCGGTATGTTTTTTTAGTCTGTCACTTTCTAGTGCACATTTGGAATTTGACATGATCGCTGCACGAAAGCACACAATGTACTGCCATGAATGAACAACTTATCGTATCGGAATATGAAGAAGCGCCTGCGTCAATCTTTAGAAGAGTTTGGTGATCGGCCCAACATTATAAAGGGCTTTCACGCTTGGACTGATATTTCCTTCACAAGTGTCGCGTAACCAATAAGAACACTCAGTTCCGTGTAATAGTAAACGCGAAACATCTCTGATTGGTTAAGCGATATACATTACATGGACAAGACGAATCCATATAGAAGCACCCTCACTCTGAGACGGGCATAGGTTCAATCGATATATTTGCTCGTTGAGAGCATGGTGAAAGAAACTCTGGTTGAGACTTCCTATTGCCCGAAGTCTGAGTGAATATGGCGTGTTATGAACATTGTGAGGAAAGATTCGTGTAAGTGGCATTGAAAGTGCTTCAACTTAATGAACTTTTATGATATTTTTTAAATCATATCAGTTTTTTTTTGCGTATTGATTAACAGAATAAATGAGTAGAGTTTTATTATTTTTAAATAGTGATAAAGATTACAATATTATGAAATATAGCAAATATTATAAATATTAAAAATATTTATATATAAGAATCAGAAAAATATATTGCTTAAATTTTTGAATAATTTGATGACTAATTACTCTGGGCAATTCTAACATTATAATTTTTCAACTTGTGTGTGTGTGTGTGTGTGTGTGTGTGTGTGTGTGTGTGTGTGTATATGCACAGTATGTATATATTAAGTGAATGTGAATGCAAAATGATTAACATTATTATCCTCTCTGACTACTTCTTTTTGGATCTTTTTAACTAGAGCTAAGATTTTTATCACATCTGAACACGATGGCACTTATGGTCATACTTACGATTCATGTGTACGGCTGTAGAATTCTAAATTGTACGTAGAAAAGCTTCAACTTTTTGTTTATCCATATTATAGAGATTCGATATTACGGATTTTGTACTTCAAACAGGACACTTTGCTGTAAAAATACGAGTTTTCGAATAAAACTTCTCTGCATACAGTTTTTTGCATTTTTCTGTAAAGCTCTTGCTTACAGTTTTCGACTTAACTTTTAAAATTTTACCACTACGTTTCTTTCCTATGCTTAGATAAGAATACTCTCAGTTGTAATAATATAAGAAAAACATTCAACATTGCAAATTGCAATTGTCATGTTTATTTAATCCAACGCTTCCTGTCACACATTAGGTGCTTTTTATTCAGTAACACAAGCGACACTAATGTTCGACAACAGTGTAATGTATTAATATAAGACTAATACGACGCAATCGTTATTTTATTTTTTTTTGTATTCCATGAGTAACTAGGACAGAACGGTGTCGATTTGTCATGAAATGAAAAGCACCTACTACCAGCATGTTCAGTACGATTACTTTATGAAAGCACGCAATGTGCTGTCACGAATGGCTAGTTCATTGTACTAGAGTTGAATATGAAGTGGAGCTTGAGCAAATCTTTGAAAACGTTGGATGGATAACGTGATATTACAATTGCTTCGGAAGGGTAGTATATTTAGTCAATAATTGTTTGTCGCGAATTTGTAATACTATCCTTAGATAGAATATCGCGTGTCAAGTAAAGAATAAATTCATAGAAATGAATGCGCTTTCTAAGAATCTACCTGTTATGTTTTTTATTCGATTATATGCAATTATGCTGCTTCTCTTACTCTTAAAAAGGGTAAACATAAAATTTCGATAAAAATGAAAATTGGTACTTTTTAACATAGAAATTACAATAACAATCATAAGAAAAATTATAAAATATTATATATATACATATACATTTGAAAATTATTTAATGACTGACTCAGGTTTTATATAATTTTTGATTTTATTTATTAAAACTCTTTTTCAAGATGTATTTATTTATTCTACAAAATATATATTATGCATATTTCTTAACGTATGTTTCACTAATTATTTTACGTAGTCATTGTTCGCAAGAAATTTAAATATACCACAGAAGTTTTAATTACCTGAAACAACATGTTTGTTTTTACGCAATGCAAAGCAATATATATCATTCTATAAAATACATTAAAATTTTTAATTTTAAATCATACTTGTATAATTAAATGTGTGAACATAATGGATAGTTCAATTCAATAGTCCAATTTTTTTTTTATAAGATGATCATAATTTGCAATTAATAAAATATAAAGAAAATTAATTCATTTTTTAACGATACAAAGGAAAGATATATTTACTTACATTACCAAATGTTGCGATAGACAAACGGAATAATTTTCCTGCTGTGATCTTAATTACGTCATTTGATCGAGCGATAATCAGAATAAGACTACGTGCAGTTTTATGATGTAGATTATACCAGTCAGTCATATATACCATTTCCCCGACAAGTCTGCACTAACAAATTGACACAAGTGTTAAATTTTCTATGAAAAGTACTCGACAGTCAGATTAATAAGATGTTGAAAATAATTCAGTTTTGTTAAAAGTTAGGTAATTATATTTAAAAATTTTTTTTATTAAAAAGTATTATATTCCACTTTCTTCTAAAAATATTACTTGCTTTTAGCAGGCAAAACAATTCAGTAAGGGCTTTATGATTGTTTATTGTAACATGCTTTATTATAATACATTTATAATTCTAATATCATAGATTTATTTTGAAAAATAGGAGACAGAAACCAATGGCCACGTTCATTTTTTTTTTGTAGTTTTCTCTGCAATGCGCATAGGATTATTTTTTTAGATCTAGGGAAAAATAGTTTCATATCTTAACAAAGAAAACTTCTAATAATTGCAAATGAAACATTGTGTATTGAACGCGGTCATTGACTAACTGATTATCAAAATCATTTTCAGTATCTCGATTTTATAACTCTTTACGACAGATTTGTATCATTATGTTATTGTTACACAGATATCACATATTGTAAAAACAATGATAACGTAACAATACCGAACTTTCATTAAGAGTTACAGAATTGAGATACTGGTTTCAATATCTTTTAATTCTTAACCTGTTCTGTGATAATCTCTCCGATGTAGCAGAATATAAATATATTGAAACCCATCGATAAATATACAATAAGAGAAGATGTTACTTTTGCTGTATCAAGTGTTTCCCAAGCCTACGCAGTTGGAAAATTTGTATTAAATTTACAATGTATTTTAAGTGCCGAACGATCCATTCAAATTTGTTGTACTAATGTAACACAAGTATGTTATAAAATAATGCAATTGTTACATAAAAAGTTCATACAAAAACACTTTAATACAATGTTAAATCAAAGAAATTATATTTCTTGAATGATATTTATATGTTACATTAATATATACATTTAATTTATTTATTTTAAAATTTTCGTTTTAAAAATTTGTTTTTTATTATACATTTACCTATTTATGAATCTTGTTTCTTTAATACTAATAATTTTTGTATCCATCAATTTAATACGAAATGTTCAAACAACATAATAACATTATGTTAAGTTAATACATGAGTATGTTAAAAATTCTACACAATATCTCTCTATCAACGATCGATCGATTTTTTAACACAAATCCAAAATGTTTTTTACTATGTAAATTAATTAAAAATTAGATGAGCTTGTCTTTTTTGTATAAATTAACGTTTTTAATACATGTTTTGTACTAGAATTGCGATATTTGCTTTTTTGTAAATAAATATTTTAATGTGTCTAATAAGACTTTCTCACATTTCTAGCGTACCATAATAGTATAATATCCAAGTAAGGACATTATTATCGTGCACCCCGTTAATTCCACAAGAGCGGCTTTATGCATAATGCTTTCCACTTGTGATATAAAACTGAAACATATAAATGTATATGACGCAGTAAAAATTTCTTTATAGTTACCGATTCATTGAACTTATGCTTTTCATGATCACAATTCACTACGAACTTCCTTCTTAATCCACAAGAATTGCAAAACAATTTATCCTAATTTTAACGTAAACTATTTTTTAATTGTTGGTTATTAATTTGAATGGTAATTTAGAAGTTTTTTATAGAGTACTACAGAAGATGTGTACTTTTTTTTTACCGAGTGCCTGCTTGTAAAATACCTTAATATTCTGAGATGATGTTCTACGATAGCAGCCAGTTTTTGTTCAGCTTTATCATTTTCCTTCGCATTGTTTTCAACTAATTCATGTAGCCACGCGTATAACACGTTCAACTGACCACAAGCATGTATAGCGAAGACAGCAGCCAGACTGCAACCACCGGCAGTACAGAAACTTATCACTAATATTACCAGGTTTTGCAGAATCAACGCGATTTCATTCAGAGGGGTAAATCTTGTATCGATGATTTTGCTATAAATCGGACACGTTGTTAAATGTGTTATAAAAGTCTCATTGCCAATTGTGATGGTAGCAGTTTTCATTGATTGTCTTAGGGCGAACAATAGGCAACCGCCCTGCAGCATTATCCCACAAATTATGGTAATGAAACGACCGAACTTGGCATGTTGCAACATCACTTCACGTTCATCAATCCTTTGCACGAGATTCCAATCTATTTCCATATGTCGTATCAATTTGTGAATGTCATCTCTACGTTTGAGCAACACCCAGTAATGCATCGAACTCATAAATCTGTTGATCAGTGGCATCATGGTATTTAGTTTTTGCTGGATATTCTCTGCCTCAAATAGCACATATAATAAACATGGTATTGTTGGGACTGCTATTATGCTTGAACAAATGAAAATTTGAAGTAATATCATGATTCTACACACTGAACTCGATGTATTTATTTTTGGCCACGCACCAATTGGCTTGAGCAACCATCGATTAAATTGTAAACTGTAATCAATGTGTTTTTTTAGTTCCTCTTTTTTGGGTGTACATTTGGAAGTTGACATGATCACTGCACGAAAGCACACAATGTACTGCCATGGATGGATACCTCGTCGTACTGGAATATGAAGCGCCTGCGCCAATCTTCAGAAGAGTTTGATGATCGGTCTAACATTATAAAGCTTCCATATGGACTGATATTTTCTTTACAACACGTATCACGTAACCAATAAGGACATTCAGTTCCGTGTAATCGAAAACGTGGAACGTTTCTGATTGGTTGCGCGGATAATATCAATCCATATAAAAGTATCCGTACTTGAACAGAGGCGTATATTCAATCGATGTATGGTATTTGCTCGTTGAGAGTTTCTATTGTCCGAAGTCTGAATATCGCGTGTCATGAACGTTGTAAGGAAAAATTCGTGTAATTAACACTCTCAGAAAGTTCTCTAACTTAACAGGCCTTTTTGATTCGATAATATATTTTAATCACGTTTTTTGATTAAGAAGATAAATTAGTAGTTTTTTTATTATTAAGTCATGAAAGTTATAATATCATGAAATGTACAATAAAAAATATATTTATATATATGGAAATCAGAAATATACATTGCTTAAGTTTTTGCATAATTTAATGGCCAATAACTCTATACCATTCTAACATTACAATTAATTTTATTCATTAATTTCTGGTTTAATATATTAAGTAGTGAATGTAATCATAAAATAATTAATTAATTATTAATCTTTGACTACAGTTATGGATCTTTCGATTTAAGCAAAAATGTTAGTCGATTATATATGATTGAAAATTATAAAATATTAGTAGTATATATCTTTGAAAGTATATTAATAGCAGTGATTCATAATGTTGATTTTGATGTATAATTATTTATTTTATTTATTAATTTGCATTTGTTGTGCACGTAGTATCCTATATAGTATCCTATATACAATAGTATATAAGATACCTGTATCTTTTTGGAATTTTTTTATGTTTTATACATAATCGCATAATTATTTGTGTAATTATGTATGTTTGATGTCATTATGTTTTCTCTTAAGAATATGATCAACATAATTATGTAATTATTTTATTTTAACAGTATGTCATAAATTTTACTTTATATCTATCTATAATTCGCGACTAAATTCGGAAATAGACAGAATTCTATTTATAATTTTGTCGCGTAACATAGAAAACATTTGAAGAAATAAAATATATATATACAGAAGATATGTATTACTGATATATAATATATTTTCTGCGTATTTGACTTCTTCAAATATTTCCTATGTTATAATTTTGTGTGTCGTCTAACTCGAAATTATAAATAGAATTCTACACTGTTAAATCTTTAGTGTTAAATTTAACTTAATGTGAGTTGCCACTGCTTCTACTCAATTATGTAGTTATTTTAAACTAAAACAATGGTTATATTTGACACTATACAGTTTGATACTATATGTTTTTGAAACCATAGATTTAACAGTGTATTTCGAATTTAATCGCAAATAAGTCGCCTAATTGAATTTGAGAGTACAATTCCACCAAAAATTTTAATAAGTAATTTATGTTCGCGAAGGAAATTAATGATAAATGATACTTGAAAATCTTTATACTAACATTTTTGAAGTCGGTAATTTCTAATTTCTGTGCAATATGTGCAATAAGTGGTTAAATCTTTATTTTTAGGATATATTAATTTGGTATATATAAAATATATATATTTATTGTTCTTATATTTCCTGACTTATCTTTTACATAATCATCTTTTATATAATTATTTTTAAAAATTTTAATATTCCATCGAATTTTTAATTACCTAAAACATCAACTACTTGTTGATGACTAAACTATACTTGTTTCTGTGGCAAATAAAAAAATGTATGTATATAAAATTCTCTAAATTAAAGACATTTATAGATTTTTTAAATGTTATATCTTAAATCGAACACACTCATATAATTGAATACATGAATATTTTAAAGGTAATATATATTTTAATTATAACTATAATTATAGTTTAATTATAATAAAATGATTATAATTTAAAATTAATAAGTACAAGATACAATTTATTAACCCAAGGAAGAAACAATATATTTGCGTTACTTACATTACCAAATTGCGATGGACAAATGGAATAACTTTTCTGCTGTGATCTTAATTACGTTATTCGATCGAGCAATAATCAGAATGAGACCACGTGCAGTTGTGTGATGTAGATTATATCAATTAGTCATGTATGCCATTTCTTCGACAAGTTTTTTGCACTAATTTGACATAAAATTTTGTATGAGTATAAGAATTTGATAATTTGGATTAAATTAAATAATGTTAAAGAAAACAAAAATTTTTCAATTTGTTAAAAATGAGATAATTTTATTTTAATAAATTATAATTTAATAAAAATTTTTTATTCTTTTCTTAAAATATTGACTTTATTGTTAAGAAAATATTAATGATTTCTTTTGTTTCAGTATATTTTAAATTTCGACGTATTACTTGTTTTGTGACAATTCCTCCGATATAGCAGAATATAAAATTATTGAAATTCATTGATACATATATCAAAAGGTAAGATGTTATTTTTACTGTATCAAGTATTTTTTATACCTACGCAGTTAAAAAATTTGTGTTGAGCGAAGAGGGTCAATAAATTTTTTTACGCATTTTTTCTCCCGATCCGATTTCCAACAATTTTTTTTTTTATTAAAAAGTTAAATATTATAACGTACGCTCATAAAGTTGTAAAACAATAACAAATCACAAAATGTAGAGGTCAACAAATTTAAACGAGCTGGCAAGATGACAATGGCTAAATTTATTTTGTATATTCTTTTTATGATATGTATATACGTGGACGTTTCAGACTTTACTGAGGAAAGATCTGTAATACCGAGTTTTGTGAGATGAGATTAATAACACAGAAATGCGAAAATTATATACTACGTAAAATGATATACTGCCACAAATGGATAACTCATCGTACCAAAGCGCTTGCGTCGATCTTCAGAAGAGTTTTGATAATCAGTCTAATATAAACGATCCTTCCATATTAGTATTTTTATTCTTGTAATTCATATCGTAACTAATGAAAATATTCAATTCCGTCTAACTGCAAAAAGCGCGGACCGCCTTTGATTGGTTCCATGGTACACATTATGCGGAAAATGTGAATTCATATAGAAGCATCCTTATTCTAAGAGGAGCGGATTTTCAGTTGATATATTTGCTCGTGGAGAATTTCTATTGTCCGAAGCCTGAGTGAACATCGCGTGTCGTGAACAGGAAAGATCCGTGGAAGTGTCATTGAAAGTGCTTCAGCTTAACGGATATTTTGATTCGATAATATATTTTAATTATGTTTTTCACATATTGATCAGATTAAATTAATTGATTTTTATTATTTGTAAATGATAAAAGTTACAATAATAGGAATTTATTATGTATTTAAAGAATTGCGCTCAAGATATACCTAGTTGATACTATGAAATAAAGAAATATAATACTTACATGAAATAAAGAAAATACTACAAATGGATACATGGAAATCAGCATAATTCTTAAATTTTTGAATAATTTGGTGGCCAATAACACTAGGCTGTTTTTTCATTATAATTAATTTTATTTAACTCTTGCTTAAAGACTTAAAGTATATATTAAGTTGTGCATATACATATATTGTGAATATAATTATAAAATGATTAACATCATTAATCTTCGATTATTGCTACGGATCTTTTGCGATTCGAGCGAAAATTTTAATCGGATCTAAACGTGTAATTAGCACTTTTGTACTAATGGTGATACTTACGGTTGATATATACTGCTGTGGAGTTTTAAATTGTACGTAGAAAAACTTCAAACTTTTGTTCATCGGTGCTCATGAAGTTCAGTACTTCAGATTTTGTACTTCAGAACGCTTTACTCTAAAAATTTTAGACAAATTTTAGACAAAACTGCTCCGCTTAAAATTTTTTGCACTTCCCTGTAAAACTCTTATTTACGGTTTTTAACATAATTTTTAAAATTCTTATAAAAATGTTCTTTTGTTTAAATATTTAGATTCTATATAGTTCATCGCGTTTGATTAAAAAGAAAATAATTAAAATCATATATGAATCATAATTTTTATTTGTGGAAAAAGTGAAAAGAAGCTTTGATTTAAAATATCCATGGATTAAAAAATTAAAAATGCTTCTTTTAATTTCAATTCTGTGAATATAATGACTCTTGCTCGTGATTAACTTAAAATTTTGCACATAAATTCTACTTAATGTAAGAAATAAAAAACATAGTCTCAACTTCGCGAAATGGAAAATAAATTTTTTTATTTTATAAATTATCGATAGCACTCATCAAAATTGATTCTATATGATATATACAATATATGTAACATATAATATACAACAATATCGTATAATATACAGGATGGCTGGAATGTACGACCCCATTAGGTCCGAGCAGGTAGAGCGGACTAAACTAAGTCGAAAAGTCCTGTACAATTTTGCAATGCTCGCAATAATTAATGAGATATTAACGTTTAAAGATAGCTGAATACGCGCGTCTACTATTGCCGAAGGTACGGCCCACCGATCGCACGGCTTGCGGAGAGTGGAGCAAGCGCCCTGCACACCGTCGCGAGCCACTAATTGTAAGCTCGAACGGCGCGGCGCGCCTGATAGGCCATCCCCGCTCTTCGCGACTCGCGTGCCGTGCGTCTGGTGGGCCGTACCTCCGGCAATAGTAGGGCTGCGTTTCATTTCACGCATGATACGCATGCATTATCCTTGTTTAACATTTGATGAATAACAAGGATAAATAATGCAGCATGCGCGTCATGCGTGAAACAGACGCACCGCACGCGAGCCGCGAAGAGCGGGGATGACCTATCAGACGCGCCGCGCCGCGCCGTTCGAGCTTACAATTAAAGGCTCGCGACGATGTGCAGGGCGCTTGCTCCACTCCCCGCACGCCGTGCGATCTGTGGGCCGTACCTTCGTCAATAGTAGACACGCGTATTCGGCTATCTTTAAACGTTAATATCTCGTTAAC